TCGGGTTTTTTCTCTAGTTGTGGCGAGTGGGGGCTACTCTCTAGTTGCAATGCATGAGCTTCTCATTACCATGACTTCTATTGTACAGCACAGGCTTTGGGGCATGTGGGCTTCAGTAGTGTGCGTCCCGAACTCTAGACAACAGGCTCAGTAGTTGTGGCTCACGGGCCTGGTTGCTTCACAGCATGTGGGAATCTTCCCAGATCAGGGATTGAACCAATGTCTCCTGCACTGGCAAGCAGATTCTTTACCACTGAGCTATCAGGGAAGCCTAGGAAGTCCCTAACTTTTAACAAGCCATTGTAGCAATAATAAAATCACCATAGGCAGAAAACCAAAGCAAACAAACCAAAAAGAAGCCATTAGGCTGGGCTGGTTGGATAACTTTTTTTTTTCTTTTTGGCTGCAGCATGCATAACTTTTTTTCCCTTCACATCATGCAAAACTTTTTTCTTTTTCTTTTTCTCCGCAGCATGCAGAACTTACTTAACCAGGGATTGAACCTATGCCCTCTGCAGTGGAACCACAGAATCTTAACCACTGGATTTCCAGGGAAGTCCTGCATAACTTATTTCTGTGCAGACCTCAGAATAAAGCTTCTCCTGACACTTCTACCAAGATGTTAAAGATCTTACCATTTGCCTCTGCATGTCTGTGAAGTGCAGTATTTTCTAATTACTGACTAAAAGAAACTGCCGCAGAAATAAACTGAATGCTGGCTCTCAGTTAAAACCATAACCATCACCTGTAATTCAGGGTTTCAAATTTTTAGTCTATCAAAATGTCGGCATTGTTCCCGCTGATTTATTTTGTGGTAAGTAAAGGTTATACATTTTGACTGACAAAAACAAATTCATATGTAAAAGCACTGAATTTTATTTGTCAGGTAAAATTCTGGGGGCTTTTGTTTGAGAGGAAAAATAAAAACTGCTAAAAGAAAAAGATTGAAACCCACTTGTCTATACTGTGGACAGCTCAGAGTGACGATCTGATCATAGAATAATAATAATAACAGGTCAATCTGGAGGCCTGGAGCACAGAGCCGATGCTCAGGAGATAATGGCTGAAAGAATGTGAGGAATCAGAGTTCATTCCAGTGGAGACTGGGCAGTGGCTACAGCAACCTCTTCTTTCTCTCAGTCTCCCCCTCCTCTCTCTCTTCCCTTCCCTTCCTTAACCTCCCAGGAGCTGGCAGCAACTTGGAGCTGGGAGGGAGCCCACAAGACTCCATTTCCTTTCCACACACGCCACTAACACCTTGGGCCTCTCAACCCAGCAGGGAAAATGGGTGGTATTAGGCTTTGGGCCTGATTCTAAGAGATGCTGGGAGGATCAAAGAAGAACTCAGCAGGGAGGTTGTTGGAAACGCTGCCATAGATGCCAGGAGCCACAGGGTAGGGGCACAGGAGTGCCTACGGTGGGGATGAGACCTGCAGGGCCCCCCAACTCCTAGGTTAGGCAGGGAAGAGGTGGAGGGCATCAGACACAAGGAGCCTCTGTCTTCTCCCACTGAAAAGGATCAAAGGCTAGACATATACAGTTTGCTAAAGCCGTGGACCCTTTCCCCAGAAAAGATGCATACAGGTGCATCTGAAGTTAAGCAGAACATTTCTGGAAGTCCCTAGAGGCCCAGCTGTGGCCCCAGAATAAATACTTTCCTTTCCCAACCTTTGAAAGCAGCAGGGGTGAGGCAGGAGCACAAAGCTAGTGATCAATTAGAAAACACACATACACACACCCAGGAACACAAAGCAGTTTTAAATTTCACCTCTGCCCAGAGGGTGTCTTTTGGCAAGTCACTCCACCTCTCTTTGGGCTTTCTTATCCTTGGAATAGGACTGTTAATCTCTCAAAATCATCAACTTTGCAGAACTGCTCCACCCTCCAATTGGTCTAAGAATAAAGGGAAGCCATAGGTGCTCCCAGCTGCGGCTGCTTGGTTTACAGACCCTTCCCGGTGTTCCCTGTAAAAATGAGGGTGGCTCAGCCACACCTTGGCCTGGCTGCCCAGTCTGAATAAAGTCCATGGGCCAGACCTAGCAGAGGACAAAGCTGGATCCTATGAAAGGCAGGTCTCCCAAGGGTCGGAGGATCAGGGAATGTTGGATTGGTGTGAGGGCCACCTGGGGTGGTCCTGAGTTTTCCAAAAACAGAGGGAACAGGGAATTCCCTGTCAGTACACTGGTTAGGACTCTGAACTTTTATTGTTGAGGGTCTGGGTTTGATCCCTGGTTGGGGAGCTAAGATCCTGCAAGCCATGGGGCACAGCCAGAGAACAATAACAGTAAGAAACAATAACAGAGGGAGAAAAGCTGGATGACCTCAAGGGCTACAGCCCTAAGCTTGGTTATGGCTCATTCCTCCCTGGGGACAGGCTGGCAGCTTCCTTCCTGGTCAGGTGACAGCCTGGCTCCAGGATGGACTTTGGGCCCTGCAGACTGGGGCTGCTGGGAAGTCAGTTTCCTTAGCTGCTGCCCAGAGGGACAGCAAAGAAATATAGCTGAGCTGAGCAATCGTGAATCCAGAGAGCAGTGTTGCAGGCTAGCCTGTTCCAGCTAGCCCTGAGAGGCTCAGAATCAGGCCTGTCTATCAGGCCAGGGGACAAACAGGAAAGCTGGGCTGCCGGTTTGCGGGTGGCTGGAGATGCGCGGTGAGAGCGTCTGGGTGTTGTAGTTAGAAGCAGTGGGGGGAATATAGCCCTGACCTCCCCCTACTCCCTTTTCTCTCCCCACCTCCAAGTCAGGGGCCCTAATCTGTGAGTTGACTCCTGGGGATTGTGGTTCGAGGGGAAGGCTTCCTGAGGAATTATATGAGCCACTGGCAGAATCAACTTCATGGGCATAGTCCACTTGGCCCTGTTCTCTGAAAGGCCCCATGCTTGATCATGCTCTGCTGTTACTTTCTCGAAATTTGTAATAAATGTTGAACAGAGGCCCTGCATTTTCATTTGCACTGGGCTCTGAAACTGTGTCATCAGTCTGGCCACCAGGAAAAAAGGAGGTGCTGAAAGGGTGGGTCGGGGGCAAGGCTGCCCAACTATTCCTCTCCTGATCAGCCCTTCCAAAAGCCAGAGTATGTTTGCCGTCTCTCTCCTCCCTACCAGTCCATCCATATTATCCAACAGGCTGAGGCTCTGTGCATTGCTCTTAAAGTATCAGCCCCTCCAGTATCACTTTTCCTCTGATACTCACCTAGTGCTGAACGGGGCAGAAAGCACCATGAGGACAAGCCCAGTGTGATCCCTCTGCATGGCCCAGTGATGCAGACTGATCCGGAATGGCTGCTCTGGGTTTGTGGGCTGGAACCAAATGAGTGATGACGGTTAGATGGGAAACTGGGGCCCAGTAAGTACAATGATCTGCCCCAGGCCCACCACGTGTGTGTGTGGGGGGGCGGTGTCAGCGGTGGCCCAGGTTTGCCACAGCTGAGCCCCTGGGGGCACCCAGGGAGCTAAGGCAAGTTCAAAAGGTCACACTGCTCACTCTAATCCCTCTACAATATTATAGTGAGTGTTGTTGATGCTACACCAGGGCTGACTAGGCTGAGTAAGGACAAGGAGAAGGCTGTTTACCAAGGTCCGGCTGGATGATAAAGACAAATTCTAACCGGTGGGGTGATCATGATGCCCTTCTGAGTCAAAAGGGAGTCCAAGATCTCACAGCTGGTCCCTAGGGCAATTTCTAGCTCCTGGGGACCAGGCAGAGACAAGACTTACATTGTCAATCTTACAATGGTCCTCTGCTGATGACCCCCCTCCATGCTCCTGGGCAATCCCTGTCTTCTTCTGGCCTCAGTTTCTCTTCTGTACTATGGGAGTATCACTCCTTGGCCTGCCTCCCTCAGAGCCTCTCGAAGGATCAGATCATACGAAAGGGCTCCCTCAGCTACAATAAAGAGCCAGAGGCCTGGAGGAAACAAAGTATAGTATTTTTGTGATTCTTAAAGGCTTCTTTTCTCTACCAACTTCCTCAGTCACACCTGTCACCTGCAAAGGATCTCAAAGCACCTTATAAAGCTGTGAGCTCAAGTCCAAGATCAGTTCTGATCAGTGCCGAGCATCTCAGTGGAAAATCGAGACCCAGACAGGAATGCTCTGGGGACTCACAGCCTGGCCCAAGGGTAAACTGAGGCACGGCTCTCCTCATCCCGTTACCCGCCACCCAAGGGTGAAGCAGGAACCCAGGAAGCATGGGTCCCAGCTCCACACTGAGGATTGATGGGTGCTGGGGGAAGGTGTGGTGAGGAAGGGGAAAGGAGGGAAGGGAGACTCTGGGTTGCCAGACAGGAGAAGAAAGCTCCAGGTCTCAGGTGGGTCTGAAGTCTGTCTCTAGAGCAAAACCTCCAATACTACCCAGATCCTGGAAAGCATTCTCAGAACCCCCTTACTCCAGAAAGAGGATTCCAGAATCCCCCATCTCTTTCTGGACCGAACTCAGGACACCAAGTTCTCTTGGGATCCAACCCCAACATTTCTCTCCCCGCTTTCCCTGGGCACCCGCACCCGAGCGCCCGTACTTCTCTGTCCGAACCTTGCTCTCCTCAGCGGCCCCGCCGGAATGGAACTTCGGTACCGCCCCCTCCCACGCCCACCCCGCGACCCCGCCCTCTCGGCCCGAGCCCGCCGCCGCGGCTCGGGGGCGCGGGGGGCCACCCTCCCTCGGGGCCGGACCTCGCTCTCCGCTAGCCCCTGAGCTCCGGGACCCCGGCCGGCGGGCCGGAGGAGGCGGGAGGGGCCGCAGGCAGCGCCTCCCCTACCCCTTGGCCGCTCCCTCCCGGCCCCGTCCCTCCCGGCCGGCCTCCGAGCCCCGCCCGCCGCCCCGCGGCCCCTCCCGCGCCGCTCCCGCCGCCCGGCCGCTCCTCGCCCGCTCTGCCTCCGCTGCCCAAACTTTTCTCCGATCGCGTCTCGGCGCGGCGGCCGCCTGCCCGCCCGCCCGTCCCCGGCCCATGGGCGCCCCGCCTAAGGGGGCCTGACCCCCGCCGCCAGGTCCGCCCGCCGCGCCATGGCGGCCCGCGCGCCCCCCGCCGCACCTGCGGCCGACGAGCCGGGGGGCCCCGGCGGCCCCCCGCGCAGGAAGAAGTCTCGCTCCGGCGCGTCCGGCCTCCGCCGCGCCTTCAGCTGGCTGCGGGGCAAGCGGCGCAAGAAGAAGGCGGCGGGGGCCGAGGGCGCCGAGCCGGCCGCCCCCCGGGCCAAGAAGGCGGACGACAAGGCTAAGAAGGCCAAGGGTAAGGGCCGAGGTAAGGCGGCCGGGCACCTGGGGAGGCGCGGGGCGGCGCCCGGGGTGCGGCTCGGTTGGTTCCGCTGGGGGTCAGCGGCGTGTCGGGAGGGTGCTGACTTCCTAGGCGTTGGTGCTGGGGGAGCGAAGAGCCCGGGGCTCGGTCCGAGCGCCCCGACTTTGCGCTACCCCGCTCCCAGATGTCCCAGACTCAGCCCAGCCCCGCTCTAGGGGCGGGGGGACCCCCGACTGGGGTAGGGATCCCCCGGCTTAGACAGGAAGTGCTGGCCGCCCGGCTCTTGGGACGGTGAGGCAGTCCCCCCCTCCCCCAGGCTCACCCAGGTTCTGCCCTCTGCTGCTGAGTCAGGGGGTCAGAGACTTGACTCTGGCCTGGAGCCAATGGGAGAGGCAAGTGGCCTTGCATGTCTGGTGGGGGTTCCTCTGGGTCTGGAAAGTCAACTGCACTCAAAAGGTGTGTTAGCTGTGGAGGTGGATCTGGGTTGCCAGCCCCACACAGGACCCAGCCCGGAACAGTGACATGCTTTACGTTATTAGCAGTGTTAGCTTTTCCTACCTGGCCCCCCCTTACCACTCACCTGGGCCAAACCGCAAACATCCACCTCCTGGGGTGGTGAGCTCCGGATTTGTGCCAACAGCCCCTCCCACCACTCCTTCCCCCAGCCCGGCATTGTTCCTGTGTTGGAAGTGCGCTTGCAGAGGGGGGAAACTGAGGCCCAAGTTAATGGAGAGGCTGTATCTGGGACAACGGTGGGTACCTGAAATACAACAGCTAATTCTCTGCCCGTAGGCTCCCTCTGGCCTGGTGGTTGGGCAGCCCGAGGGTAGGAGTGGCTGACCCAGCCCATGCCTACTGGGTCACTTTTCTTTTGGCCACTTGCTTGGTTCTCCCCTCATCTTCCCCTCTGTTTGTGTCTCCTGATTGAGGGGGAGGGCATGAGTCTCTGCCAGAAGGTGGGGCTCCCTTGGGGCTGCAGTCCTCGGAAGTCTACCTTTCCTGCTGGCAGTGCTAACGTGCCAGAGGTGAGGAAATGGTGCTGTGTGCAGGCCCATCCCATTCCACCCTGTTTACCCTCCCAGTGTCCTTTAACCACCTCCTCTGGAGGAGAATTAGAAGGAACACTTCCTGGGGTCAGGAAGAGGGTGAAAAGCCTCTTGTGTGATTGCATCCGGCCTGATCTTCCTTTTGGAAATGGGCCCTGCATCCCTGCAACCCAGCCACAAATGGAGGTTGGGTGTTGGGGCTGAGGTCACTGGGCCAAGCCCTGAGGGAAGGTTTGCAAGGGGGATGTTTCCGAGGGCAGCTCCCACGATACATGAAACCTTTTCCAGGTCTGTTCCACCAGGATTCAGCCTGAAGTCATCTCATTCACAGAGTCCTGGGGCAGAACTGGACAAGATGGGTTGTGGTCCCACTGTCAGGGTTAGAGAATGAAGGCTAATGGTGTAGCCCAGGCCAGTGGACCATTCTCTCCTGGGAGACCAGCCTGGGGCGGGGCGGGGTGGTGGTGGTGAAGGGGGAGACAGGAAAACTGACTCTGTAGGTCCCTGCTCTGACAGCCTGGTTAGAGGTCACTGGGTCAGTGGTAGACCTCCCCTGGCCTTGTGTTTGGTGTTGGGTAGCACTGGGCTCTCTGGGCAGCAGGTCGGCCTGATTTGGGCCCACGTGTGTGGGCCAAACCTCCCTGCCCCTGGCTGTTGTTTCCCCAGGTCTGGGGGTGGCCCCAGGTATGTCTGGAGGAAGTCCTGTTCCCTTTTGCTCCAACCTCCTATTATTCCAATTGTTTCTTTGTCACCTGCCCGACCAAACTTCTTTTCTGTTTATTAAGAGAAATAAATCTGATCTCTCTAATCTCCACTGGCACCGCTGGTCAGGAAGGGGAAGCCCAGAGAAGGCTTAACTCTTTCTGGGGAAAATGTTTAGAATGAAGATTTGGGGAGAGAGGGAGGAGGCACACACAAAAAGTTCCTAGGAGGTCAGGGGCCTTTGCTACGGAGGTCATTATTTCCTCCCTCCCAGGTGCTGAACCAAAGACCCATAGATGCAGGTCTTGGCTTCCCTAATCTGAGTCCCCTACTATAAATGGGAAAACTGAGCTTGGTATAGATTCTGAGCCTGTATCTTTCCTGCTCCCTTCACTGCCCTGCCACATACTTAAAAAGGGAAGAGAGGAAGTCTGACATTTATTATTCTGAATGTGCCAGAAGCCCCGTATCCATGATCTCATTTATACCCATTTGCAGATGGAAAAAACGGAGTCTCAGGAACAGTGAGTGATTGATTTACCCACCTGGGATTTTAACTCAAGTTATCTGACTCCAGAACTGGTCCTGCTTTCTTAATTTACCCAAAGACACAGACCAGGGGGTAAGGCTTAAAGATCTCCTTGTCCAACCCATTCTACAGATGGGAAGAGGCCCAGAGAAAAGTGAGGGAACTTGGTAGAGTAGGAAGAGTATCAGAGGCAGGCAAATTGATGAGAGTTCACATCCTGGCCCAGCGGTTAGCAAGCTTGGTGATACCAGGCAGGCAACTTCTCTGTGGTCTCATCGTTTCCATTACTCTCTTTGGAATAGAGGGGACCCTCTCACTGGGGTATCTGTCCAGGTAGACCCATATCCTTGATGGGTCTTTGAGCTTTCTCTCTAAGATTCTCACAAAAGAGGATGTGAAAATTACATGAAAGTGAAGTCACCATAGAAATGTAAGGGGTCGCTGTTATTGTGTTTGTGAGTTTATTTTATTTTTTTGTTTGTGAGTTTATTCACCTGAGTTGTAAGGACCCAGTCTGGAAGGAATGGGCTCTGAGGTTGATAGGACAACTCTGGCCTGGTCCGTGGCCTGCTGCTTTCTCGGGCCGTGTAATACCAGCAGGTTAGTAACCCTTCCAAGCCTCAGTTTCCTTATCTGTAAAATAGAGATGATAAATCCTGGCTTTACAGGGGTGTTTCAAAGATCAAATCAGATAACAGACATGCAAGTGCCTTGTGAACTGTGGAGCGTGGTGCAGACGGCAGGAAGTTGTTGCTGTTGTGATGCTAAGGACTTGAGTATTAGCTGAGTTTATTCTTATCCGTGTTTGGAAAACAATTCATTGCTTACACAGAAGGTGGAGTCTTACCTTTGTTCAATGGAGGACACAGGCACAGAAAACATAAAAAAACAAAACAAAACACCAAAACAAGCAGGAATCCATATTTTTCAGAAATATCACCTGGACTCTAGACAAGTATGTGGGGAGGAAGTGTTTCTGGGACAGAGTCCAGGACTGGAGCCCGGGAGATAATCGGGGGAGGCTTCCTGAAGGAGGTAAGCAGGGTGTGGAAGGAAGGCAGGGTGTTGGCTAATTTGAAGGGGAACATGAAGGCTGCTACATGCCAGACCCTGGCCAAGCATTTTCATGAATGTTTTCCCTTGTTGTCTTCAACAACCTGGGAAGAAGTTTATAGGTGAGAAAATAGGCTCAGAGGGTAAAAGTAAGTTGGTCAAGGTCATTCAGCTTCATTCATTTGAAAAAGACATGTATGTGCTCAGTCGCTCAGTCATGTCCAACTCTTTGCACAACCCTATGGACTGTAGCCTGCTTGCCTTTCTGTCTATGGGATTCTCCAGGCAAGAATACTGGAGTGGGTTACCATTTCCTCCTCCAGGGTGAAAGAGACATATTCCTTACCATATAGTGTCAGGCACTGGTCAGGGTAAGGCAAATACTTGGGACAAGACAGGCATGGTTGTCACTTGCGTGGAAGTGATGAACACAGCGTGGTAGTGACAGAGCCACTTAGTTGGCCTCCTGAGGCCTCACTCCCCACACGAGATAATATGAAGTTGGAAGTGTTTCTGACTCTGGTGGGGAGTAACTGTAGAGCTTGGGACCATCTTTGGGGAAAGACGTATGCCAGCCCTCCTGAAGGTTTCTCTCAGGCAGGGGGCAGTGGCTACGGGCAGGGGTACTGATAGTGAGAATTTAGGAGGTACCCTGCCAGGTTCAGCCGATTTGACCCCATGAACTTTGGCCCTCATTCATGGCAAACCATCCTTGGGATAGGGTTACAGAGAGACTCCTGAGTGTGAGATCTGCTTTGCCAAGTCCTGCCCCACTCTTGGCAAAGACACTGTCTTAATAAAGATGGGGTTTAATGGCCTCCACTGTTAGTGGCCCTTTCTCATTCTAGAATTCTGTGGGTTTGAAAATGGGCTGGAGGAGCAAGCTGGAAGGGAGGCTGGGGGTGGGAGCTGTGTTAAGGGAAGGAGAACCTGCCTCTGGTCAGTAGGGTGGACGTGACATCAGGACCCAGTGGCCTGGATGTCATAGGAAGGTGGGTGAGGAGAATGCAGGAGAATGAGGTGAATGGTGCCAAGTCTTCCTGCTGAGGAAGGGGCCTGTGTAGCTCTAAAGCAAACTGAGGACTCACAGGCACTTTGGTTAGTGGTCACTTTGCCTGAGTTCTGCGTGATATCTCTTTGCCTGTCGATAAACACATTTCTTGCAGTTCCACATTCGGTGCCATTGCATGCGCTGATCCTCGCTGAGGATATGTTCCCTCTCCATTTCCATCCAGAACTCCTATTCATCCTCAAGACTTGGTCCAGTGTCATCTTCTCTGTGATACTCCCGGGGAGATCACTGCCCTGGACTCTAGAGCAGGGTGCTCAAGCGATTTGGAGTTGGACAGGATGTGCTTTTCTGGCACCTTCTTCATGGGGAGGGGCATCTCAGAGTCCTCAGCCTGGGGCCTGGACTAATGTCATATGGGCTAGGATGCGTCCGTGGGGGAGTGGCTTCCCCAGAGGAGTCTGGGTCTGCCTCCTCCAGACCCCTCTGAAGGGATGAGCATTATCTGCCCTGGGTTCAGATGGGAGACGGTGTCTCACTAATTTATTTCACAAATACTTCTTAAGTTTTTAATACTAGGTACTAAGTACCTACTATGGGCCAGACTCTGTCCTGGGGATGAAAGAAAGACAAGGTCCCAGTCCTCATGAACTTCTCGATTTGAGGG